GATCCTTCGTTACGTGGACGATATGTTCGGCGCCGAAAGGTGGGCCGAGGCGCGGGGTGTCACGCGAGCCGGCCGATCGGTCGCCGTCGCGCGCCGCGCGGCAAGTCGAACACCTGCTGGATTGCATCGCGCGCATCATAAGATGCTTATTGGGCCAGTCCGCGCTGGCAGACGAGAAGATTTCCTGTGCTGTCCCGCTCGGTATCCTGGGACTTCGCGTCGACCTCTCATCGGAGGGGATGTCGTGCGTTCCGCTGCCCGACAAGATCGCTAAGTGGACAGCACGTATCACGTTGGCACTCGATTCGGGCATCTTGCGCGCAGGCGTGGACCCAGTTTGCGGCCCGCCACGCAGCGTCGCGGCGCGCGCGGCCAGGTGACGCGAGCAAACTCGCGGGCGCACTAGCCTGGGCATCCGGTAACATGTTCAACCGCGCGGGGCGCGCCATGCTCAGGTGTGTTTTTCTGCACCGCGCGCCGGCAGCGCACCCATTTGCCACGCCCACGTTGCGGCAGGCCGATCTACGCCCAGGCACATCGCGGCTCTCCCGACATGCCGCAAGCGCTACGGCTAGTGCTGCGGTGGTGGTTGATCGTGCTGGGCGGCGAGCTGGCACAGTCACGAAGGTGGTGCGACGAAGCGGCGGGCCCCGTGGCCCATCTGTTCTGCGACGCAGCCAGCCGCCCGCCCATGGCGGCCGCCGTACTGTTCGTTGACAACAAATGCTACTGGACGTGCATGCCACCTGCCGCCCGGCACGGCTGCGCAGGTCAGCGTCAGTTTTGGTCGCGACGCGCGCGCACGCGTGCGCCAGGATCTTGAAGGCGTTCCAGCCCAGGGAAGATCATCAAATCATGGGCTTGGAAATGCTGAGCATTGCCCTGGGCTTGCGCTCGTTTGAACACCTGCTCCGCCGTCGGCGCGTCGTAATCTGGTCTGACAACGCAGGCGCGCAGGCCGCCGCCGGCAGCGGCGCCGCGCGCGCGTTCGATCACGCTTGTCTCCCACACGGCCTCTGGGTCAAGATTGCGCAATTGCGGTGTCTAGCACGTGTGGAGCGGGTGCCGACAGGCGAAAATATCGCAGATGATCCGTCCAGGGGTGAGTTCGGGCTGCTGCGGCAGCTCGGCGCAGTGCGAATTGATCCGCACCTGGACGAGGCGTTCTGCACGCCAGCGTCATGGACGTCGATGCTCATCCCGACAAGGCGAGCCAGCGCTCGCAGCACGGCTATGCTGCGAGGCAGCCGAAACTCGGCGCCAGCTATCGGGCATCTCGCGGCGCGTGCCACGGTTGACGCGCGCCACTCAGCAGGGGCTCGCGCCGCAGGGTCCACGCGACCTAGCCTGTATCATTATGTCTCACGACGATTTCGCCGCTCATCTGAGCAATGTTCTGCCCAGAGCGTCACGTGCTGATGTCGACGCGGTTTGCTCTTGCCTGCGGTTTAACGGGATGACGCGCTGGCAGCACCTCGAGGGTGCGCTGTTCGATGACTCTCTGGGTCGTGAACGCCTTTCTGTCACCGCAGCGACAGCAGTGCGAGAGCTGCTGGCACGCCCGCAAGGTGGCGCGCATCGCGGGCGCGCGGGTCGCGCGCGCGCGCCGCGCGTATTCTTAAGGACGATGGGCGAACGCCAGGCCCAACGGTGGCGAGGCGGCGCGGGCACGCCCGTCGAGTCAAGGCTCTGCGAGCTCGGCTTCTTCATCGTCCTCTTCCTCGAGTGTGCGAATATGGGCACCCCGCGTGGTCAGTCGCAGACCGCTTTTCTCCGCACGTTGCACGCGCGCGACGTCTTCGCGCGCGGCCGCGCGCGCAGGGCATCCCAGGGCCGGCGCCGCCGCCGGGGCCTCCAGCCGCGATGCTTACGGCCCGTCGGCGGCGCAGCCGCAGCTCGGCAGCGGACCCAGTGGCAGCGGTGCGCCGTGCGCTACGTACGGCAACGGAAGGTTTCGAGCGTCAGATGGGCGATCCGCGTTGCGAGATCGCAAGGGCTGCCGCAGCCGTCGCGTCGCCCGAGGCGGGGCGGGCGTGGGCCCAGGTTGCCCGCAACAGCGCCCTGCTCGGATCGCGCCCGCGGTCACTACCGCAGGTTCGCAGCGGCCTCGAATGTTGGGTGAAGTTCGCGCGCGACGTTTTGCAGCGCAAAGGGCAGCGAACTCCCGCCGTCGGTCGACGGTCTTTTGCTCTGGTCTACGACGTTCAGGTGTCGCGCGACGTTCTGCAAGTACCTTTCGCATTTGAAGGAGGCATGCCACGTCGCGCGCGTGGCGGACGCAGCGTTCACACACGCGTCGCTGGCCGGCGCCGAGCTGGCTATCGAGAAGCGTTCGGGTTGGTCGGCGCGACCCCGCATGGCGGTCCGGATGCGCGCGCTGGAACAGCTACTGGAACGCCCAGGCGCGTTGCCAGAGGGATCCGGGCTGGGTCTCCTCTTCGTGACCGCGTACGCGTTTCTACTTCGCCCCCCGTCGAAAACGCCGGTCATCCAACGGGCCGCCTCGCTCGACGACGCGTCGCATTTACGCGCGGGCCTTTTCATCTGCGAAGAGGCGGCCGTCTTATCGCTCGCCAGACGGAAGAACCGGGAAAGACGGACAACTATTGTGCGCAATTGCTGGTGTCAGCGCTCACGCGCCACGTGCCCCGCACACGCTCTCGGCGCGCGGTTCAACTCGCAGTCCGTTGGAGAGGCCCCGTGGGCGGGCTGGCGCGCCGCGGGTGTACGCAACGCGCTGCGGTCGGCACTGCGTCACACGGGAGTAGTTAACGCCGACGCCTACGGCACCCACTCGTTCCGTCGGGGCCACGCCCAAGACACTGTGGAGTTCGGCGGCCGAGCCGCCGACATCCTGAAGGCAGGTGACTGGCAGATGCCAGCTTGGATGCGCTATCTTGACGTTGTGAAGATGGAGCGCCAGGCCGTCGCCGAGGCGCATTTCGGCGCGTCGTCCAGTGACGACGAGGGTGGGGATTTGGACCCCCCCGGCGTCCAGCGACGTCATTCCACGCTTGGTCGGTGCAAGTAACGTCGCGCCAGGCCCCTTCGCGCGCTCGGTCGCCCTCGTTCGGTCCATCGGTCGCTCTCTCGCGGGCCACGCGTCTGCGGCCGTCTCTCTGCCCGGCATTGGGTGGCAGCGTGCCTGCGGGTGCCGCAGGCCCGCTGTGTGGGGCAGCGCTCGGCCTCAGCCCCTGGGCCCGTGGCAGTGGGTATGGCACCCATGTGCTTCGGCCTGCGCCCTGGCGCGCCAGCCGCCTGTGTCGTTTGACGCGGTGGGCTGGCGTGTCGGCTGTTGGCGCGCGGCCGCGGCCTCACCCGGCGTTGTTTGGGTGCCGCATTCCCCCCTCTGGGTGGCATCGCGGTCGAATGTCGCCGCGAAGGAGACTTTTGGGGCAGTAGTAACTTGTTATTGCAAGTCATAAGTCGACGCCCCCAGGCAGGAGTGCCACGCCGTCGGCGCACCGCGCATGGCGGGCGCCCGCGTGCCCACCCGCCACGCGCCGCCGCTGCGTCGGGCGGGCCAGGCCCCGCGCGGGCACGCTGGCGTGCCGCGCGGCCGTGCGTCGGGGCCCTTCCCCCCTCCGCTCCTCCGCGCACGGTCGCGATGTCTCCTCTTTGCCGCCTGGCCGCGGGGCGGGATATCAAGCGCCCGGTCATGTCTGCAGCGCCCCACCTGCCTAGTGTGCACTCTTAAGGTGGGGCGGCTGGCCGGGGCGTGGTTCCCTGTCTGCCAGCGCGCGGCTCTGGACCAACCCGGGGGGCGACGCGCGGGGCGTCCGTTCGCCAGAGTGCGTCGGACGCGACCGCGGTCGCGCTTCTGTTCTCCCACCCACCGCCCTCGAGGGGGGGTATGATACCCATGTGATTCGGCCTGCGCCCTGGCGCGCCAGCCGCCTGTGTCGTTTGACGCGGTGGGCTGGCGTGTCGGCTGTTGGCGCGCGGCCGCGGCCTCCCCCCACGTTGTTTGGGTGCCGTATTCCCCCCTCTGGGTGGCATCGCGGTCGAACGTCGCCGCGAAGGAGACTTATGCGCCCTGTGCACTCCGTCTTATCTGTCGCAAGACATGGTTGACAACGAACGAGTAGTGATGAACGGTTGTGCGCGCCTAGTGCATATTGCAAGTGATGGTCGGGGGGGGGGGGGGGGGGAGGGGTCCGGGCCTGGCTACCCAGAGCGGCGAGCTGGCCCATGCGTCGCGGCCCCGCAGCCGCGGACTGGAGGCGCAGGTCGGGCCCGCGCGCCAAGTGGGACCCCCATGCTATTCAAGTACGCGCACGTTCACATGAAAGGCAGGAGCGGCAACGGCGACGACAGACGTGGCCGCGACAGGACGGGACACCTACACACATATATATAGTTGTGCGTATGTGTATAGGTGGGCGTACATACACGTATACAGACCTACGCAAATATTCACGCACGTGCCGTGTATATATATATATATACACATATATATATATATATATATACATGTATCGGGCCGAAGGCGGGCCAAGAGATATCCAGATCCAGCGCCTCGCAGGGTCCTGGGAGATCGGCTCCCCAGGCGGTGGATCTTTCGAAGTTCCAGCCTCGGCCGACGCCGTAAGCTAGCAAGTGAAACAGAGCAGCGATAGGAACAAGCGAGCGGAATCGTCGCACAGACCATCGCGACTACTCGCCACGGCGCTAGCGGGCGCGCTTCTGCTCCTTGAGGTCTTCTGTAGGAAGAAAGACGGCATAAACACAAACATTCGGAGGTCCGCGCAGACTTCTTGGATCGGCGCTGCAACCCCCTCCCCGGCGCGCAGAGCGTCGCCAGCGGGGCCCAGCGCTGATCCAAGAAATCCCCGCGGAGCTTAAAACATTGCGTTTGCACAGTATTTCGTCCCTCGGCTCCCGCCACTTCCTCGCCGCCCCCGCTCCCTCCACCTCTTGCCGCGGGGCGCCCCTCGCGCTTGCACAGGCAAGCGCCCCCCCTCCCGCGGCGCTTCTCCTGATCCAGCCACGTCCGCGCACTACCCCGACGCGAACGCAACCTGGGCCGCCAACTGCGAGGTCGAGACTCGAGGCGCCGCCTGGCTACGCCGAGCTATCTCCCGCATGAGCTCGCCCCGCGCGGAATGGTCGATCAGGCTCCTCTGCAAGGCCCAATCGACAATGTCGGTGGCGACGGAGTGCCTGTCCCTGGGCCCCCGGGCCAGCAGGAGCGCCTGGCTCCTGAAATCGACTCCCATCTCGCCGTCCCGGGGAAACAGAGGAGCCCCAACAACGGCGTCGCCACGAGCTTTCGGAGGTCCCCGCTGCCTTCTTGGATCGGCGCTGACCCCCCTCCCCGGCGCGCGGAGCGCGCCCGGGGCGGCGGCCCAACGCCGAGCCAGGAACTCCGCGGTCAGCTCCGAGACTGTGTGCGTGTGCAGTGATTTGCTCCCCTGGGAAACCAGCTCGGCTCCCCGCCCACTTCCACCGGCAAGTCGGCCCTGGCAGTTATCTTCACACGGGACGCCTGGGCCAGTCGCGTCGCCGTGCACAGGCCGACCTGGGCGGCACCCGACTGCAAGATCCCATGCGCGCCGACCACCCCCAGCTCCCTGTCCTGCTTCGACTGGCGCGTGCCAACCAAATCTTTCGTCTTGTCCAAAAGAAGAAAGAGCAACGCGTGCATCAACTTTTGGAGGTCCGCTCGGATTTCTTAGATCGGCGCCGGGTCCCTCTCCCCGGCGCGCGGAACGAGCCAGGGGCGGCGCTGGAGGCGCCGCCAGGGGGGCCCAGCACCGATCCAAGAGATCTGCGCCGAGCTCCGAACATTTCTGCTTATGCTGTTTATTATGATTCGATTGTCTGGGGCCGTGCTGGCAGGCTTTGGAACAACCTTGACTGGGGACGCGTCACCCTTGTCCGTCTCCTCCTCCTCCTCTGAGTCGTCCTCCTCCGACTCGTCCGAATCGAGCTCGTCCTGGCCCCAGAGGTTCGTGCCGCCGGAAAAGCTGGAGATGTTCAGCACGATGACACCCTCTAGTTCCTCAGGGATCTGTACCTCCTCCCCGTCACACTCTAGCTTCACCTTGGAACCAATATCTTTGCAACGATTCTCCATCAGAGTGGTGGCACCACTGGTCATATACCACAACTTTGTCACAACCCGGGAAAAAAAGAGGTGCGGCAAGCGTTCCCTCTTCTGATGGAAGTCCAGTGCTACGGCAGCGTCCACGCCCAGCCCGAAATAGTTACACATCACGTACGATGTTCGGAGTCTTGGAAATGGGCACCAACACCGACACATGGGGGTTGCCTCCACAGACAGAAGATGATCCTTGCTTTGGTGTCGGTGGTAATCTTTCGGCCACCTAGAAGCCCGACAGTTACCACCATCGCCGAGATCGGGATCATCTTCGCTAGATGGAGGCACACCGCCGATATTTGTGCTAGTGCCAACCTCTAGGCCTCCGAGATTTGCGCTCTGGCTTGGGCACCGCGGGGAGACACGACGGCCTTGTTTTGGGCATCCGGCTCCGCCGGCTCTCTCCACGGCAGGTCACGGCCCACCTGTCCAGCAGCTCGACGTGCGCCTCGTCGACCAGCTTGAGGCACGCCAAGACGCTACCGCCAGTGTAGCCGCCACCCCAGCCAGTGACTCGGGCCAAATCGTTGCCAGTACCCAAAGGCAGAATCGCCACTGTCGGGACGTATTTGAGGGCCTTCTGTTCCAAGACGCCCAGCACCCATCCCACGGTGCCATCGCCACCGCAGACCAGAATGCGGTACGTGAGGTCTGTCTTGTTCCACCACTCCAAGGCGGCCTCTGGACCTTCCCTCTGCAAGTCTACGATCTGCAGCTCGTGAAGGTACGCAGACAGCTCGCAGAATATGTTCTCGCCCTGTTGGCCCCCGCTGCGGCTGTTGACGAACACCAGAACTGGGCGCCCGTCCTTCAGCTCCGCGCGGTCCACCTGGACGTGTTCCCACCGGTCTGGGTCCCGCAGTCTGGCCGTCGCAGCCTGCCGCAGAGCCCACAACTTGGTCGACGCAGCCTCGCCGGCCTGTCGCAATCACTTGGCCTGCCGCAAATCATTGACGCCCGCCACTCCCGCGGCCTGGCCTTCTGGGGCGCGCGGCACCCGCTTCACTGCCCTCGAAGGGAAGACCAAGTGGCAGATCTCTCGCCGGGCCCACTTCTGCTCGAACACCTGAACTCTGGAGCGTGGGACGAACAGGCTGTCATACAGCACGGCCAGCAGCAGCGCCACGGTGCACGCCAAAACAACGGTGGCCACCACGACGCCGACGAGCGACCGCTCTGGGCCCTCGGCGTTCAGAAACCACCGCAACTCCCACCAGAGCTCCGGCACGCGCCCGTTGGCGAACGCGTCGCCGACCGGCACCGAGCTCATCTGGCGGGGCCCGCCCAGCTGCCTACTCCGGGCCGCGCCGGGCCAGACCGAGGCAGGCCCCCTGTGGGCCGCGCTGGCTCGCGGCGCTCGAGCCAAAATGGCTACGGTACCAGCGGGGGATGCGCGGAGAGGTGGAGCGAGGAGGGAGGCTGGCGAGGGGATGTACGACGAGGCGAACGAAGGCCAGGCGATACAAGCGAGCAAGCGAGACCGACGGGAAACGGGGGCCTTACAGGTTGGCATGGGCGGGCTCGAGCAATCGTCGCTGGAGGCATGGAGGAGCAAGGCCGACATTCATTTGCGCTGGCGGGCGCTGTCCGGCGCGTGGGAAAGAACACGCGTTGATTCCAACAATATAATTTTACTCGCTGCTGCCTTCCGAAATATCCTCATAGTCCCAGGACTGGACATGTTCGGTGTCCTCGTGTTTCCGTTGCTCCCGTTTTTACTGTTTGCGGTATCCCTTCGGCACGCTCTGCTGCCGGGCTGCTGCGCTTTACGCTAAATGGTTTGACGGTATCCATTTGCGTCAGCCGTATGTGGCAACCATGTCGTCGATTTTGGTTCGATCTTCGCGGGCGTCGGCTGCGTGCGTACCGCGCGTGATGAACTCCATCCACGGTTCGAATTCAATCCTTCGAGCAACAACAACAACAACAACAACAACAACAACAACAACAACAACAACAACAACAACAACAACAACAACAACAACAACAACAACAACATAAATCCGCCACAGTGTCTCCTGGCACGTTGAGGCGTGGAAGAATGCCAAGAACTGTCTGGCAGAGTTTCTGTAGCCTTCTCAGGAACCCACCCCTCTCGTCGCCCCCCCGAGCGCGCACCGCCCCTACTCCTGGAGGCCCTAGGGCGGCTGTCGCGATTCCCCGGGGTCACGAGGGCTGCCAAGACGGTCAAAGACGGCTGACGTCCGACCATGCCTCTAAAACTGCCTGAATTGGCTACAAGACGGCCCACGATGGTTTCATCACAGACGGCTCAGGATGCTCCAAGAGAAGCCGCAGAAGAGCCCGGCGAAATAGAAACCAATTGTTGTCCTTTGGTTTCATTGTTTTCGGGATTATCGCGCTTCCGGTGCTTCTGGGTTTCCGTCAGCGCGAAACGGCCCAGGAGGCCTTCAAGATCGCCAAAGAGGGCCCGCGAGAGCTCCAACATGAGTTCACAAGCGTCCAAGACGGCCTCGAGAAGGCCAAGAGGGTGCATATTTGGTGTCTCCCTGGGGTCACGGAAGCTGCCAAGACGGCCGAACAAAATCATCAAAACCGCCAAGACGGCCACGAGTCTCAAACCGGCCCAAGAGAGCTATACGACGGCCAGGAGAGCCCAGTGGCCCCTAAGACTGCCCTACAGGAGCCCCAGACAGCCCTAAGGCGTGAGCTCAGGCGTGCGCTCCATAAGGACTTCGAACGAAATAAAAACGAACAACGCTATATGAGACATCCTTCCGTTTCCTTCTCCTCCTCTTCCTACTCCTCCTCCTTCTCATCGTCATCTACCACTCCTCTTCCTCCTCCTCCTCCTCCTCCTCCTCCTCGTCCTCCTCCTGTTGCTGCTGCTGCTGCTACAGGTAGTACTCGTCCTCCTCCTCCTCCTCCTCCTCCTCCTCATCCTCCTCCTCCTCCTCCTCATCATCATGATCACGATCATCATCATCATCATCATCATCATCATCATCATCATCATCATCATCATCATCATCATCATCATCATCATCATCAACACCATCACCATGATAATCGACAGCCTCAACATCCGTATCATCATCATCATCATCATCATCATCATCATCATCATCGTCATCATCATCATCACCGTCATCATCATCAGCAGCATCACCATCATCATCCCCATCATCATCACCACCACCATCATCATCACCATCACTATCATCACCATCGCCATCAGCAGCATGACCATCACCATCGCCATCAGCAGCATCAGCAGAATCAGCATAAGTATAAGTCTCAGCATTCGCATCAGCATCCGCATCAGCGTCGTCATCATCACCATCACCATCATCATCATCACCATCATCAGCATCATCAGCAGCAGCATCGGCATCAACATCATCATCAGCAACAGCAGCATCATCATCACCACAAGCATCATCAGCATCATCATAATCACCGTCGCGGTCGTCATCGTCATCGTCGTCGTCATCAAGCCGCTCTCCTCTCGAGCCTTTGAGAGATAAGCGACCTCCCCACGCGTGCCCGCTCGCGCCCCCAGGCCCACGGCGGGGGGACTGCGGACCGCGAGGCGGTGGTGCCCGCGGCTCGCGGCGCGAGCGGGGGCCAGGCCCCCGCAGGCTCCCCCTCTTCTCCCGAGGCACGCCCTTCCTCCCACCCGCGTGCGCGCGCATGTATGTGTACGTGCTGTTCATCACCACCATCGCGCGCATCATGAGTCACCAGATCAAGATCGTAGGGTGGAACCCGTTCTCGGCCATAGGTGTGGGACGCATAGACGAGATTTCTGAGGAATTTAACACGTTCCACATCGTGATGATGCCTGGGACCAAGATCAGGGCCAAGCAACGGGCCCATCATCACTACGATAAAGGTCATCGACACTGGTTTCTACACTTCGGGTGGGATCGAGGGAGCATGACAAACTCATCATGTGGATGCAGCATTGGGTTTCGGAATTCCAGGTTCCGCACTCAGGACATCACTCGTATCACTACGCCTCCAGCAGAACTCCAAGGACGGGGCGGATGCGCCGACCTCATGCAGGGGAGTCTTCGGTTACGACTTATAGTGGCCTACTTCCCCCCACATCCCGCACAAAGTACCCCAGCTGCCGTACGCCACTGGAAACTCAGCTTTGTCAGGCTCTGGGAGTGGGTCCTTCGGGAAGCATCCTCAGCACCATCGCGCATGGTCCCTATCATTTTCACGGACCTTAACCAGCCCCTCGGCCGCGTGCACCGTGCCCCTGCCCACGACCAGAGTATAGGACCACACCAGGCTGGCGCCGAGTCTGAGCTCGGCCAACGTGTTCATCGCAACCTATGTGAATCTGAGTTTGCGTCTCCCAACACCTTCTACGACCTCGGCTTTAGCTTCTTTGGGAACCGAGAGTCCCGCTCGCGTATTGATTATTTTTTCTGTCCACAAGCTCTTTTACCCTTGGTTCGTCGCATGTATATGTGTTGGCGCTCACACCGACGACTGCATTACCTTCCACACATGCTTGATCATATACCGATGGGCATGGAGGTCACAGTCTCGGCACCCCCTTCACCTCAAGATCGGGGCTATTGCGTTTGGGATTGGGGTCTCTTGGCCGCAGGCCTCGAAGTTGGTCACAGGCGTCGGGAATTTCTTCAGGACCTCCACGCGTCCCTGAGCCAGGTGCGCCCCCTCCTCGAAACGATTCTCACCGACCAGGACCCTAGCCGCCACAACGCGGTGCTCGCATATCTCATTCGGCAGAGTGCAGCAAAGTTTTACTCCAAAGATCATGCGACCCCCCAGTGGGTCAAGGACGACAGAAAACATCGACTTACTCTTTTGCGTGAGCGGGCTGATCTTCGACAGCAGGGTCTCTCTCCCGAATCCAGCGAGCTCAAGATCATATCCCAGAAGATTAAGAAGTTCGAAAGGTTCAAAAATGCGTGGTGGAGACACAGCATAGAACAGGAGTTGCGTATGGCGTGGGCACGGCGCGAGACAGCACGAGTAGCAGAACTGGCACGCTTACGCGCAGGCACGCGTACCGGTGTACGCAAGCGCTCGTACCTCGCCCTCCCCTCGGCTCGCCCTCTGGCGTCATCCTTCCTTGGTGCTCTCTCTCGGCCTGGAGTGGAGGGAGGGCT